AAGGTCCCCTCTCAGCCTTCTCTTCTCCAGGCTGAACAAGCCCAGCTCCCTCAGCCTCTCCTCGGAGGAGAGATGCTCCAGTCCCCTCCTCATCCTCGCAGCCCTCCGCTGGACTCTCTCCAGTAGCTCCTCATCTCTCTTGAACTGGGGAGCCCAGCACTGGACACAGTACTCCAGATGAGGCCTCACCAGGGCAGAGTAGAGGGGAAGGAGAACCTCCCTCGACCTGCTGGCCCCCGGTGCCTGGATCTGGCTTTGCCCTTTCGCCTGACCTTGGACCGCAGGAGTCACGGTTTCGAGACCCAAGCGACAGGCACATTTTTTCATTTTAGGAGCTAGTTTCCAGCAGGGTAAAGTCTGCAGCCTGGAGGACACGGTTATTCCTACAGCTTCTCCCTCGCAGGAGCCCTGAGGGCCACCGCTTCTTGCACCACCCATAGAACCTACGCAGCGCTACTCTGCTTGGCACCAGCCAGAAATTAAAGAGTTACAAGCTCCTTCCACATTCAATGTTTATTTATTTGTAATACAAATAGAAACGTGTGCCCAAATCTCGCCTGAAAGTTCTACCCAGATTGTTTAAAAAAAACCTACAGAACATTCTTTCATCATCTGACAGTTAAAAAGCGGCGTTTAAAATAAACAGAGTTTTCAGTAGCCTGTCAAAACAAGTGACACGGCACTGTCGGAGTATCTGCAACTTCTACCAAGGAGAAGCCCTTCCTCCAGCAACAGCGTTAGTATACAATCAGTTGCTTATCATAAAAGACCTTATGATAGGACAATTTTTTAAAAATCAGTTTTAATAGAGATTTTCATAATGAAAGGAGTAAAAATCCTGAAAAAACCCTCAAGTCCAATTCAGGGAGGCACAGACTCCACGCGTGTTGGCAAAGCCGGCTTCAAGCAGTATCCCGCTCCAGAGGAAGACTCTCTTTGGCGACAGACGACTCCGTTAGGAAGATACAGCATTTGGAATCCGAGAGTGCAGCTGTACATACTTTGAGTCCGAAAGGTGCTTGTGGATCATCGAAACGACAGAAAACAAGTTAAAAGCATTTTGAAATGTTGGGACACACACAAACACAAATACCCTACCAATTTTCTAGGTATCCATGCATGATCTTTATATATGAGCAACTCAGCTACATGAGAAGAAACCACGACTCTGGTTCATTTCAGTCAACGTGCCGGTTCCTTTTTCAGAAGTTATCCAGTACTCACTGTAGCAGTGTAAATGAAGAGCTTGGTATCTCAGCTACCACTAGATGAACATACCACAGCTGAATTTAAACCTGTATTTCCTAACAGAGCATTCCATGCGTCTGTAGCTGTTGATAGCTGCTGCTCAAAATTTAATTTAAAAAAAAAAAAAAAAAAACCACTTTAAAATGTTAGCAACATTTTCAGCATTAACGGAAGGCATAGAAAGATGGTGAGGTATGACAGCAGCGGACTGCTCTGTACGTCGAGACTTCACTTTTACCCACCTACCGCACGATTTCCAATTGTTCCTTCTCACCTCGCTCCAAGAAGTTTCGAACTTTGCGCAGCCGCTGCCTGGGCAGCAGGGTGACGCGGCCCGTCAGCGGTGCCTTTGGAAATGACCACCTTCAGCAGCCAGCTGCAAACCCCAAGTGGAGACGCGTACCGGAAAGAAAACATTCTGCACAAGTTACAGGGGGATTCTTATCGTTTTGTTTACAAAAACAAGAGATGACAAAGCAATTCTTTAAATCAAAAGAAATGACCAAAATCTCGTACATTAGATTTGACTACAGGAAAACGATGTGGCTTTTCCCTCCCCGCCCCCACCCGAGATCTGCAGGAGAACTGAGGCTGCAGACCGAATCCAGAGGAACCCAAAACCGAAAGGACAGAGGAAACACAACTCCACGTATACATAAGTACTCTGCTGTCTGCAACTGATGTCGTCCCGGGATAGCACCACCACGAAAGATTTTATGTGGCCTAGTGAAACTTGACAAACTCCTCCAGAGTTCTGGGGATCTGGTTCTGGTAGCTGATGTTATAGATCCGCACTGCTCGGGCAGCCAGGCACTTGAGACTCAGCTTCATTTGAGTTTTAAGGAGTATTTCAGACACCCCTGTCGTACTTTTATCCAGAGGGGTTTTCTTCTGCTTATTCGTCATGTCCGTGTGAGCACCAGCCTCCACCAGGCTAATGATGATTGAGTGCAACGTCAAGAAGTCACTGATGGGCCTGTGGTACTGGACGATGATGTGGAGCGGACTGTTTCCTTCGTTGTCCACAGCGTTCACGTCAGCACCACAATCTAGCAAGAGTTTCGTGACGAGCGCGTTGGGGAAGCTGCAGACGTCGTTCGTGTGGAAGTCGTCCACCGGAGTGCTGGAATTGACAGCGTGATGCAGCAGACTGGAGCCATCGCGGGTTCTGGGGTCGAGGTGAATCAGGTTATAGATCTGCTTGTTGATTTGCGACTGATCCTCCTCGCTGCACTGCGTCTTGGTAGAGATGCAGACTAAGTAGAGGAAGGTAAAAATGTTGCATTCGTAGTTGTCCATGGCTGTGTGGATGTCAGAGTCTTGGGTGGTTTTGATCCGGGACATGCCTTGCTCTATCTCCAAGAGGCTGCACCTCAGAACGCTCTCGATGTCCTTGGCCTTCACGGGCTCATTCAAGTGGATCATCTGCGAGAAGACCTGAGCGAACCTCAGGAGGTCCTTGTGAGTGTTCCTGTTGCCTTTCTGCCTCAGGTGCAACGCGTGGAGCCACAGCTTGACACACTGTTCGAACTCCATGTTATCCGCATAAACAGCTCCGCGGTAAATAATGGGGTGAGAAACATCGATATTGTCCGAGCCCAGAATTCTTTCCCGCACAATGAGGCCTTCCATGTGCAGGGCATCTCGGTCCTGCCTAATGGACTCTAATTCCTGAGGAGTCCTGCATTCAGTCCTGTTGCCGTAAGCTTCAATTTGGGGAAGAACTTCTTTTTCAATTACGTTCTCGCTGTCTCGGTACCTCTCCAGCATCGCTAAATATAAATAGTGGTAAGTCTTCATTATATCATAGTTTTCCCTGTCATTGGCAAACGAGGCGCCCAGGAGTTCCAGAGCTTCGATCCGGCTTCTCCGGTCGCAGTCGGCGTGAGCCAGCAGCAGCTCCACAACGTCGGCCTTGCAGCTCTCGGCGGCGACCTTCAGCGGGGTCATCCCATGGCCGTTCACAATCATCGCCGCCTTCCACTTGACCAGCTCCCTCACTATCTCCAGGTGGCCGGCCTCGGCCGCGAAGTGCAGCGCCGTGGCCCCGCAGTGGGCTTTGGCGTTGGGATCGGCGTGCTGCTCGAGGAGGTACCTCACCACGTCCGTGTGGCCTTTGTAAGCCGCGATCATAAGGCAAGTGTTGTCGTACTTGTTGGCGATGCTGATGTTGGCATTGTTTTCCACCAGGTATTTCACGATGTCCAGCCTGCCGTCGAAGCACGCGGCCC